CACCTCTTGAACACAATGAGTGTTACCACTAGACAGGCATGCTTGCTTCCAGCAACACACTATTTATAAGTGCAGTTAGACTCATAGCAACTGAAAGACTCACAATTAGACTGACGAAATCTTAATAAATAAAAGATGTAAATCAAGTTAAATGAGGTCCAGTCTTTCAGACAAACTGACTATGATATTGATATTTAACTAATGGTCACAAAATGGACCACTGAGGGTTAAGTGCAAGGGCCGAGAAGGCCTACCCCTTCATACATACATACATAATGGTCACAAAAGTTGGAAAGACTGTTAGCTGTTAGCAGTTAATGACAAACATGGAAGTTTGTTATGGAAAGATGTAGTCCCAAGAAGCTAAATAATGTGCTGGTTACAAAAGTATATTAGGTCAAAGCCTCAACTACATCTGTCACCCTGAAAAACTTGGATGGTAATGTGGGCATAAGTAGAGTTTAGGTACAGTGTTAGAATATCAAAATTCTAGCTGAAGAGAATTTAGGTTATATAGAGTTGAAAGAGCATAAACTGTGGTTTAAAGGAGGGTGTTCAAAACTATTACATCAATGGAAGTTAAATTAGGGAGGTTACCGAAATCAATAGATAATACAGACAGAGTCAACCACAAAACAGTCTTTTGGGGGAAAAGCAAAGGAATATTTGCAAGATCAACCAGTTGACCTTGAAACAAACAATAAAATTAAACACATGCATAACATGTATAACCTAAAACTAACCTGGCAAAAGAAAAGAATGGTAATCTTGCAGTTTCCTACAATATCATGAATCAGTCAGTCACTCATGGAGCTGAGCCCTATTGAGAAGGTGCCAATTGTGCAGCTAATCAAAAACTTCCCAACATTTTATGAAACTTGAGGGTTTAGTACCATGTTCACAAGAGCCCTCCACTGGTCCATATCCTGACCCAGATTGATCCAGTCCATACCATCCCATTCTATCTCTCTAAGATCCATTTTAAGTTGTCCACCCACCCATGCCTTGGCCTTTCCAGTGGTCTCTTTCCTTCTGGCTTTCCTACCAATAACCTATATGCATTCCTCGCCGCCCTCATTCGTGCTACATGCCCTGCCCACCTCATCCTGCTTGACTTTATCATTCTAATTATACTTGAAGAAGAGTACAAGTTGTGAAGCTCCCCATTATGCAGTTTTCTCCAACCTCCTGTCACTTCATCCCACTTTGTTCCAAATATTCTCCTCAACACCCTGTTCTCAAACACCCTCAGTCTCTGTTCCTCCCTTAATGTTAGAGACCAAGTTTCACACCCATACAGAACCACAGGCAAAATTATAATTTTGTATATTCTAATTTCTATGTTTTTGGACAGCAGATGAGAAGACAAAAGGTTCTGGACTGAATGGTAGCAAGCATTACCTGAGTTCAATCTCCTCTTAATTTCCTCCTCAATCAGGTTTTGATTTGTTATCGTTCCCAAATATCTGAACTGTGCCACATTTTCAAAACATTTGTTTTCTATCGTTATGTCATGACTTTGCCCAACATTTTGGTGATGAGACAGCAACATATACTTAGTTTTCTATATGTTTGCTTCTAGACCAACCTCCTTGTGCCAATTAAAGTTTGTGTTTTAATACACTTCATATATTTTTAATATACCTTTAATATTTTTAATAATATTTTCAACATTTTATATATAGTATACCCTTATTTATTTCTTTTTATTTTTTTAATCATGTATTTGCTATTTTAACTATATACCATTGTGAGGCAAAGTTTTTACATTAATATTTAATATGATGCGTTGCACCGATAAGGATCCGTATTTGTATTTTAATAACTATACTTATTCCTGCCTGATTGTGGTCATGTATGACCGAAACATGTTGCAGTAATAAAGATGTAATGTAGTAACTGAAATATTTGTTGTGTTGTCAGTAGCATAGTTCCTACATATTATATATTGTTTCTTTTTATGATTTTCTTAGTCTGGTTTATGCCATAACTGTAGCAACTGTCAAGGAATACAACTGTTGTCAGTGTTGTGCAAAATTATATCTGCTATCCATGTATCAAGATTAAGTATGTATTACAGCGTTCTGTATATAATGCCTCCCATTTTTTTTTAAAGAAAACTACAACAGATACAGAAAGCATAATAATGCAGTTAAATAGAGCAAGATTTCAGCTACTTACAGTTATTTTTCCACATAATCACCACCGTTCATTATGCACTTTTACCAGCGATTAACAAGAGCCTGTATGCCGCGGCCATAAAAGTCTGCGCCAGCAGAGGCTAGCCACTTTCTTACAGCTGCAATGACAGCATCATTGTCTGGAAAATGTTGCCCACATAGTCCATTTTTCTTAGGCCCAAAGAGATGGAAGTCTGAAGGTGCTAAACTGGGGCTATAAGGTGGATGTGGTAGGACAGTCCCAGCCAAACTTTGTAATGTGTGCGGTGGTCGCCAAATTTCTATGGAGTCTAGCGTTATCATGTTGCAAGCTAAAGGTTGTCTGCTTCTTTGGCCTGACTCGGGAAATGCGGGCTTTCAGCTTAGTCAGCGTCGTTTTGTGGCGTTCAGAATTGACAGTCCCTGGTTGTTATCTGCTGATCTGTATGGATGAGGCGCTGTTCATTGTGAGGAGTGGCAGCTGAGCAGGGACGCCCAGGGCGTGGCTTGTCGTGCACTTCGCTTTCGCCACTGTTGAAATGCACTACCCACCACCTCACTGTGCTGACTTCCATTGTATTGTTTCTGTACACCTTTAGCAAGTGTCGATGGATGTCAGTGGGTACAATTTGTTCGGCAGTGAGAAATTCAATGACACATCTGTGTTTCATATGCACTTCTATGTCAGACACCATTTTGGTAGACTGCTCTGCTGTCGCTATCTGTCGCACGACATCCAAACTAACAGTAGATTGGCGGGAAGGTTCAACCTTTACTACAACACCACCAACATCCATCTCAGATGTTACATATTAACACAAAAAATAGGAGGCATTATTTATGTAACGCCCCTAGTATGCAGAAAAAATTACTGGAAATCATCAGAGATTATGTTGGAGAAAATGGGGATTGCAATGTGACAGTACATTGACTTCAAGGAATCCTGTATTTTACAACACTCACCGAATTTGGTATACTCATGAAACTATTTACGCTAATTAGTACACTGTTAAATGAAACCTACTGTGAAGTTTGTAGAGGTAAACACTTGTCTGAAGTATTCCAAGTTCAGAAGATGCTTTATCACCATTACTACTTGATTTACATGCAAGCTAAATATGCTATGGTTTAGAGCTCTGCAAGTTCAAGGGGCATCTAAATGCTGAGAAAAAATTACTCATGAGACAAACACAGCATTATCGTGAATAATTTGGAAGATAGGAAATGGCCAGCTGAATTCCTTCAGGTTGGAATGATTGAAACACCACACACAGGAGATTCAGCAATAGAAAACAAATTTTGAGGCTGTATTGCTCCTTGCAGTTCAGCGGTGTGATTATTATTAAGCAACATATTTGTGCAGTGCAGCATACAGAGACATGTATCTCATTTCCATCTCTTGCCATTACCGTTCACGTTAGGAGTGTTAGGAGAAATTGAAATTGAATAGGACACATCAGCTTCCGAATCTATAAAAAGGTCAGGTTAATTTTTTCATGAAAACGTAAAGAAAAACGGAAGAAAAGAATATGTTCACATATCATCATCTAAATACAGGACGCAATCATAATATAAAGATAGTTAATTAAGTCCTTTGAAAATGTGGCAAAATTGAGAATGGTATTAATTAATCAAGATCATGTTGATGAAGAACGTAAAATGAGATTACATTTGAGGAATGTTTGTTATCACTCACTGCAGAATCTTTTATCCTTCTGTCTACAAATGCAAAGATTAAAATTCACAAAATTAGAACTGTGTTCTTAATCAATGGGTGTGAAACTTAGTCTTTCACTTTAAGGGAAGAACAGAGATAGGGAGTGTTTGAGAATGGGGTGCTGAAAAGAATACAGTATGTGCTCTTCACCAACAATTATTGGGCGATCAAATCAGAGATGATGAGATGCATGGGGCATGCAGTATGTATGGAAGAGATGAGAAATGCATACTATACTTAAGCCTGCTGAGAGAATTAGATATAGATCAGAGGATAATAGTAAATGTACCTTAAAAAGAAGCAGGTTATGAGGATGTGGTCTGAAGTGTGCTCATGATAGGGTTTAACGTGGACTACTGTGATAACAGTAATGCTCATTGTGGTCCCTAAAAGTCATGAATTTCTTTATTGACTGAGGGACATTTAGCTTCTCAAGAAATATGCTGCATGGAGTTAGAATGCAGTGATATTTGAATCCGTTCAAATCCCCCAGAAATTTATAAAAGAAAACGCTAAGTGTACCACAGGGCTGATAAACTGTCTAAAAATTAAGCAAATGTTTGAGGCCCTGTCATGATACAGCCCCTTTTAATTTTCTTCCTAAGAACTTGATATCAAATGTGAGGTTTGAAATAATTCTATGGATAATTCTGTTGTGTCTTCATGAATTTTATGAGTAGAGAGACATGTATCATTTCTTACACGTTTCCTTTTATCCTTCTTGCCTACTCTAACCAATGCATATCCTGTTCATATTGCTCCAAAGCATAGTGCTTACTATATGTGCTACTTGTTTTAACATAGAAAAAAGCTTCATTTCACCCACATTGTGTATTTGTGTGTTCTGTGTGAGTCTCAGAATAAACAGTGGTGTTTTCCCTAAAGAGCATTAATCAGTTCAATGTTTGAGACTTTTGCATGCCTTCTGTGAGGTGGGAACTCAATTTCTAAGCATTATTTATATGGATTTCAGGCTTCATATAGTTACAAAGATGTGTTTATCACCATGAATGATGACCAGTTCAATTCCCTACATTAGTTACATAGTAAAGCCCATTTATCAGATGTATACTTTGGTGTAAGGAAAAATGTATTATAAATTGACCTGACATTGTGTGTTTCAGGTGGAAAAATTACTGCAGCCTACAGTGTGGTTGGATGCAGCTACACAGGTCTTCTATTCATTTGGACTGGCATTTGGCTCTCTGATAGCATTTGGCAGCTACAATCCACCGAAGAATAACTGTGTTCGTGATGTGATACTTGTGTCCATAGCAAATGCTTTCACAGCTATCTATGCTAGCGTTGTCATATTTGCCATTCTTGGATTCAAGGCCATGACAAACGTCGACAGATGTATACACATGTGAGTAACAACTGAACAAAAACAGATGTATAACACAATTTCGTGCGCCCTTCTGAAAATGACAATATCAAGAAGAGTATAGTATCAAGTATCTGAAATCTATAACAGTTAAGCAGATGTTGCTTTAAGGAATTTTTAGCAGAGGTCTTAGTTTTCTTTGTCTCAGATATAAATAGAAATCATATATAGAAAATTATTAAATTCCAAAAGGTCCCATTCTTACAGCAAAATTAATATTAACATACAGAGTACTATAAAGTACCCCCATGTCCTTTGCAAGCCCTGTGCCTCACTTCCACAGAGGACATCAGTGTCCACTCATGCAACTGTCATGTGTCCACTGACTGCATGCAAGCATTAAGGGGGTGTATTTTGTAAGGCTTCTGGACATTGCAATGCTCATTAGTATCTGTTGACAAGAATGTAAAAACAACGAATGTCTCAACACAGTGGCCTGGAACAGAAAATGTAAAATAAATATCACTGCAGTTAGCAAGTTAACACTGTTTGAATAACCTTCATTCACTCTGAGAAGATGTCACGACCTCAGTGTGTGAGGAAGATGGTTGCATTTCCTTTGTCTTGAATGTTTAAATATCAATAGTTCAGGTAAAAGATTAGAAGACTCACCAACTTCTGAGTACAGATTTTTTCCTGATGGCATTCAAGAAATAAAATAATAAAAAATAGGTACTTTTTCATAAGAGGTTAAACAGTTCCGTCCAGTGTGACTAGTAAAGATTTTTCTTCTTCTGGGGTTCACTCAGTCTTTAACAGAAATGAGTACCAGGAATTAATTAAATAATTTTCCTGGTGAGTAAAGTGCGGCCGGTGTATAAGGCTGACATCCTTACTGCCATCTTTGAGCCGATTGTCTAGATAATGTGGGACCCTCAACGTCTCACAACCCTGTGGGCCTTCATAGCCTGGTACAGGGATAGCTTTACTTTACTTTTTTTTTACTTTACAGTCTTCCATCCCTTGTATGTTTTGGTCTTTATAGACCAGCCTCAGAGGGACATCAATACAATCGGAAGCCACTATTACAGTATGTTTTTGAATTCCAAAATATATACACATAATGTTGATAAAATACAATGGATATAAAATTTAATGTTTTAACAACTACAGCAGCTGTCTTAATATGTTAAAATATTTACAATTAGTTTAAGATTTTTGTTGGAAATTGTAAACCAAGTAACCTTTCATGTTAAACCTGTTTAACCTCTTATGATATTGTTAGTGTGACGGACCAGAATGAAACAAATCAAATTTATTGAAGCTAGGTACTTTTATTTAAACAGTACCATGAATGCAAAAATATTCTGTGTTACAGGAACAAGGAAATACTGGTTCATTTACACATGCTCAGTGACATGAATGCAACAACAGAGGAGTATGACATTGCATATGAGAGTGTGAACAACGTCACATTTCATTCTTCTGGCATGAAAGTCTGTAGCCTGGAGGAGCAACTTGATCAGGTCAGATAATGTTATACACATGTTGGATATTGGAACAAATGGTGGTCTTGTGGTAAGAAACTTAGCTCTCATTCAAGGGATTCTGAGTTTGATCCCCAGTCAGATCTGTGTACGTACTTTTTCGTTCACAGAGTGAAACCTTCACCTCTGGCAAACTGAAACTGTAAATGTGAAGAATATTAGCTCTGATACTCCCTCTGTAGTTCAGAGCGCACATTATACCATAGGTCCCCTCTGCCAAACCTCATTACCCTAATCACCCCATTGACAATAGTCGTGGCGCAATGGTTTTTGGTAATTTAAAAGCCTGGTGAATGTCAAGCTCACAGATTGGTGATGGCATCTACAACAGAATCTGCCCCATGTGTACGTCCACGGCAGAAATGACATCTCTATCCTTGCCTGTGTAGGCACAGGCCAGAAAGGTCAACACTGACCACTAGATGCATTACACAAATGGTAACAATAAATACAAATGCTTCTCCTTTCAAAATTTTAGAAAAGTGTTTCACTACCAAATTTAAGCAGCAGCATAAAATAGAGCGAGAATAATTCAGTTGGTTTAGAGACGAGCTATGGACTGGATGGCCAGGGTTCGATTCCCAGTAGGAGTAAGAGATTTTTCCTTACTCCACAGCATCCAGACTGGCTCTGAGCCCTACCCAGTCCCTTATCCAGTGGGCTCCAGGGCCTCTTTTCCCAGGGTGTAGTGGCCAGGGTGTGAAGCTGACCACTTACTTCCCTCTAGTGCCAAGGTCAAGAATGGTGGAGCTATACCTCCACTCCCTCTGACATCTTCATGACATGAACATCACCTTTATCTTTACATCAGACAGACAGAGATAGGTATGTATATGTTATTATCCAAGTTGTTATGACCAATACTTTCCTTTTTCTAAAATCATGTTTGCCAATTACTAATTTTCAGCCTTTGTGGTGGGTAATTATTGACGTTAATTCTGTTGTTTGGTTGTTGCACCATGCAGATGTCAGCAGTGTCACTGATATTTCAGAGGTAGATGCTGCCTAAATTTTCAGGACTGAATTGTGGATTAGTGAGTTTCTTTGTATATAACATTGTTTTGATAAATAATACGAGCACAGGGGAGGAGAGGGGGCATGTGGTAGTGTAGTTGGTTGAGGCACTATGCTACAAGCCGGAAGGTCATGGGTTCAAGTCCCAATGAGGTGGATTTTTTCAGTTGATCTAATCCTTCCAGTCGCACAATGGCCTTGGAGTCAACTCAGCCTTAAACAGAAATGAGTACCAGGAATCTTCCTGAGGGGTAAAGGGCGGCCGCCGCGTAAGGCCGACAACCTTACCGCCAACTATGAGCTGACCATCCAGAAAATGTGGCAGCCTCGACGTTTCACAACCCTATGGGCCTCCAAAGCCTGTTATAGGGATAGTTTTACCTCTTTTTTTATCTTACGTGGGAGGTGATAGAGTGGGGATTAGCACATCATCTGTGCCAGTATGAATAGTGGGGTGGGATATTTTTGCAGACAGCCCTTGTAAGGGCTAAGATGTGCACAAAAACTCCCAGCCAGCAGCTGATGTTCTTGAGCAGTTACCCATTCAAGTGCCCACCAGGCAAAACATTGCTCAATTTTTATGCCATTGGTCAAGCAAGTGGAGAGTGGAGGGGAGATCTCTTGACACAATGGTACGTTTCCACAGGGATGTGAAGGAAGAAGCATGAAGAAGTGTGTATCTCAGCAGGAAGGTGGCTACCAGTTTAGCCTGGCCTGGAAGATCATCCAGACAATCAAGCAGCAGAGAGGACCTCACCGACGTGCTCATTCCACAGATCCCATGCTAGATGGAGGAATAGCTACAGCAACTCCATAATGGGGTCCTCATCCTCCTCCTAGGACAATACCCAACTTGCTTACTGTTGCTGTCTAGGCTCATATCCCTACTAAAATCCACAATACAAAAGTTAAGCAACATCATGCCTGGTCGGCACTTGAATGGATGACCACTTGAGAACATCAGTTGCTGATGGGATTTTTATACACTCCTGGGCCCTTAAAAGGGCCCTCTGCACAACTTTCCCCAGTTCACTATCTATACTGTCCCACATGATGAATCAATGCCCACTCTGTCTTCCCCCTCTTTCTGTTGTTTTCCAAAATAGAATTACACATGTGTGGAAACTCACCAAACTATGCATACTGACCCTGAAGATGAAGGCAGTATGTATCTCTGGAACATCAACAACATTGCCCATATCCACATGGTGAAACAATCCAAGGACAGATTGAACACGTTTTCCAGTACTCTTACACAGTTTTTGCCTCAAGGTCGAAATATATGACACATCAGTAGATGTTCTACTTTTGACAAGTCTGTCGGTATGCATACTAGCTTGAAAATCATCAAACTGTTCTCAGTAAATGGTAATGTTCTCCCTGCACTTAATCAATTGAATTAGCACCATGCCATGAAGATGTACGAGGGAGTGAAGATACACCTAAACTCTTGTTAAACTCAGGACTAGTTGGAGGACTGTTGTCAGTTTCTCCTTGACTGTTATTGTTGTAATTGCCTCTCTGAAAAAAGATGAGAGCAGAGGCCAGGGTCACACTTCTGCAAGCCTATTGCATCAGTCTACTACATGGCACCACCACACATTGTTTTTACGAGAGTGCTTTTTCAACTGAATGTTTCATTTTATCTGCAATGGATGACAAAATTGAGCAAAGTGCAAGCATCAAGCTTTGCATGAAGCTCAGTAAATCTGCTACCAAAACCCCTGAAATGCTTTGTATGGCTTTTGGAGAACATTCTTCAAAGCTGGACAGCAATTTTTGAATGGCATTCATGTTTCAAGGTCGGCTGAGTGGCAGTTGAAGATGACAAACGTTCAGGGTGACCAAGCACCAGCAAAACAATAGATGTCGAAAAAATTTGAGAACTCATCAAGGAAGACCATTACAAAACAATCCATGAGCTCGCAGACACTGCTGGGATCAGTTATGGAGTTTGCGAGGAGATCTTAACAGAAAATTTGAACATGGCATTGCACTGCTCCATCATGACAACACATCTGCGCACATGTCCCTGAAAACCACAGAGTTTGTGACTAACAACAACAACATGGTTATCATATCTGCCCTACTTGCTGGACTTAGCCCCCTATGATTTCGCTTTGTTTCCCAAATTGAAAATGAAACTGAAGGGACGACATTTTGAAACGGTGTCTGATATCCAAAGGAAATCGCAAGCGGGACTCAACAGCATTAAGGACTTCCACTGTGTTTCAGAAGCATGAAAGAAATGATAGGATTGCTGTATACGTTCCCATGGAGACTGTTTTGAAGTAGGTGGGAGTGAAAATTGAGTAAGTTAGGCCAGCATTCCTTTTCTGACCTAGACTTGGAACTTTCCAGTACACCTCATACAAATAAAAACGAACCAAAGAACCAGTGATGTCAGCACATGCCTTTCTCAAGTGTGAAATGGAAACATTCAAATACACAGCATGGAAATAGGAAACTGAATGTCTGAACAAGTGGGGGAGATATGAACAATTCCAGATAGATACAAGGGCCAGCACCCAGTGGCCCCACTGGAAAGAAAACACCTTTATAAGGGGAGAGTATGATAACTACTGAACATCATAAGCAGGTGGAAGAAACGCCTCTGGAAAAGTAAGCTAGGGCTAAGGCCTGTGAGGCAAGCCCCTCAATGAACTCCTTACAACCTAGTCAGAAAATGAAAAACCATTTTATGCCTTTTCAAATGTAAAGAAGTTAGAAATTCATTGAACTGCTTTTAATGATGTACTATATACAAACAAATTAGATATTGTGTAAGTTTTGAGGTTTTCACGGCGATGACAATGAAGAAAGTCGTCTTCTGGGTTTAGGCACCGTGTATTCTTCGTTTTGGCCGACGTTTCGGAGGAACGTAGCGCCTCCATTCATAGATATTCATGAAACTAACACTTGCCTTACTGACAAGCTGCCCCTGGTGGGTGACCCCCTCTTACCGCCCTCCTCGTTGTCGTCCTTACCGCTCAGTGAGACTTCAAGCCTCACGAGTTGGTCGTCACTTATACCTGCCCTTCATGTTCGCACCTTTGTGGTCTGCACTTTCATCCGCCGCTTCCTTGTAGCTGTCTGGTTCAGGGTAGGGTGTGGGATTGCTCTGAATACTTGAATTTTTATGGGCGCCAGTGGACTTGGGTGAAATCCACGAGTTTGGAACGGGGAAAACAAAGGTGGGGATATGGATAGGCGGGCGTTTGGGGTTCCGACTGCTCAGAAGGTAGGACGAGATTCTGTCTCAGGGCGACTAATGGGCCTTGCTCACACCAGGAGAGAGAAAACACTCAAAAACACACACTTCACCAACACTGTTGCTTTTTATTGTAGATGTTCACTACAATTACCCATTTCCCAGCTGTAGCATTTTGAATTTGTACACCGGACTCGGGCCAATACCAATTTAACGTCCAGGAGGTTACTCATGTTACTCCCTTTGGCTACTCACTCCTGTTACTCACTGTCCATGACTCACCGCTCTTATTCCCATGTAAAGACTTGTAATGACTTGACTGCTCTGGAGAAGCAGAAGTCCCGACGGTTCCGGGAACGCCTGGATTCCTCTCCTCTGAAATTTTGCTGATTGGCTGAACCTAAAATTTGGGTGTTTCTCTCATTTGCATTCAGCCAATCCCTATCCAGATCCATGTTAATTTGGGCCTAAGTACAACACGGTCCCTCTGACAGCTCTCAAATAAATGGAGGTATGCTAACGATCGCTCGGTACGCCCCTTCGAAAATTATTGCGACTCGTATCTGTCAAGTCTCAAATTTTCAAAGACTCGAACCGTCGAAGTTAAGCATTGAAATCCCCAGAAAAAACAGCGGGATACTTCCTGCTCCATTCTGGGTTTTCAAGTGACCTGCAGCTTGCTTGTCCCTCAGAAAGACCAGATGTTGTCCTTGGCGTCTGCTGGTGCTGGGGTCAATTCTGTATCGTCTATTGTTAACAGTAGTACAGTTCGTTTACGTGTATTAACAGTAGTACAGTTCGTTTACATGTAGTACATTGTAATTAAAAATGTAAATCAACAACATTGCTGAGGTTCCTGCATGGTGCGGTTACACCCCAGAGCTGGTCTGGTCTCTAATGAGAGAGAAGACTTTCTTGTCCCTGCTGGGAATGGAACCCTGTTCTTTGGTCATACATGGCATAGTCTACTCACATTACCAACTGAGCTAACCTGGCTGCTTCATTTTAGAGGACTTCCTTGGAATTTTCCTCTGCAACTAGATTTAAATTCAGGGTGGTGGTAGAGGCAGTATTAGTGCTGGAGAAATGCAGTGCTTAGGCTTTTCTTTTGGTAATGCTGCGTTTCTGAATTTTGTCATCATCTTGTGTTAAAAAACATAATTTTTTGGAAACTAGATCCATTTTTGCCTTTAGGAGAAGGGATAGGAAGACACCTACCCAATAGGGTCCATTAGGAAGATCTAACCTGAGTCACTTGACCTGGATGGATACAAGATCCAGTTTCCAAAATCTCATGTTTTTTCAGATGATAAGACAATGGATAAGGTTAAAAAACTGAACAATCCTGAGTTTAGTCTGCCATCATTGGAACCCTTGTAGTCTTGTCCCAGTAGTCCTTCACTCCTGTATCATAATGCTTGTTTAGTAAGTTCCTTTTAAATTTGGCTTCTTGAATGTCTTGAAGTTGTCTGTGTTGTCATCCTTCTGAACATTCTGAGTATGGCAAGTATCCTCATGTTAGATTATACAGTCTTGATACTGTATAGATTGGTGGAGGGGTTGTATACACAAGGCTTTTCATATTTACATTCCCTGATGAAAGGTACCCCAGTACTTTTGTGGTTCACATGAATGTGATCCCCTTTTATTCATGGGTCCTTATTCAATGTATTCAGACCTAGTCACCATATGTGATTGCCTCTTAAATACATGACTATCTTACATGCTTTGTTACAGGCAGCTGAAGGGACAGGCTTGGCATTCATTGTGTTCACTCAAGCCATTGTGGAACTCCCAGGAGCCCCATTCTGGGCTGTTATATTTTTCCTCATGCTCCTGGCACTTGGTCTTGGCTCACAAATTGGAATTCTGGAGGGCATGCTCTGCACAATCTTTGATATCGACATTTTCAAGAGGATGCGCAAACAGTACATCACAGGTGAGCGTGGTTGGATTACACCTGTTATCTGTGCATTAACCAGTCAAGTGGTTGTGACGTCTATAGACAACATGCGGTACTGTGTATCGTAGTGGCTATGACGTCTGTAGATGTCATGCATGTTTCTAACTCTTCCACTGGAGATATAAGGCCAGTCAGCAATGCAAACTTATACATTGTGCTTGCTAGAGCTTCTGGTTACTTCAGAGTGTGACAAGAAGTTGCTGATTGCTTGATAGCTGTCCTGGGTTCAGTTCTTTTGGCTAAACATTATGGCAGGTTCTAGCAAGAAGAGGCATGTAAGTGATGAGGTGTTGTATGAACTGTTACAAGAGAATGAATACAGTGATATTTCAGAGAGTGAATATAGTAGTGATAGTGAAACAAATGTGAAAATTTTGTCAGGTGGAGAACAAAATATCAGGTCTGATGAAGCAGAAAGTCAGTGACAACAGTAGCATGCTACCTGACATATGGGCAAATTTAGCTACTGAGTGACCATGTTTACTGGCAAGCCTGGCATAGATGTTAATTTAGAAGACCCCAGTAACCCCCTGGAATATTTTGAGTTGTCTTCTACACCAGGCATTGCAGAAGTCATGGCCAGATCAGTATGCCCAAAAATTTTTAGAAGACATACCTAATTGAAAACTAAAATCTTGGACCCATCACTGGGCTGGTATTGAAAATTACATAATTATAAAGCATTCACAGTATCTTCCACTTCAGTTGCGGCGATGTTTCTGCTGGTTAGTGATGATTTCATAGTCTGTAAAAGATAACTATTTTGCAGTGGATGTTTGGAAGAACAGTTCAGTTCATTCATCCACCCTAACCTTGAGCTTGCCCACATGGCAATAAGAAAGTCTATTTATCAATGAGGCTTCCATAGTATTGCAAAGTAAAGCCAGGAGTGTGTTTTCACTAGAGAAATTTCTAAACACCGGAGGCCCATCAAGACGGTCATTATTGAATGTGTATTGTATTGTATTGTATTGTATTTATATTTGTTCAAGAAATCCAAAAAAGGATATAGAACATGTCACAGAACTAAATATAAAACAGGATACATGCATAAATTACACGACTAGATAGTACAATGAATCAAACAATAACAAGTTTCAAAGATCCAAAAAATGGATATAAAACATGTCATAAATAATACAAAACATAAAATACACAGTTATGCTTATCTGGATCCTACAATATTCAACAATAATAAGTTACAAAGATCCAAGAATGGNTGATGCCACATGATGTAGATACTGCATTTTAAAAGGGGAGAAAAAATTATAAAATTAAATGCTGCAGTGACAAATTTAAATGTCTGGGGGAATTTAATGTGCCACTGTGGGAGAGATAAGAACATGGAAAAGAACCACTTGACTGGTTAATAGTATGCTGGCTAATGGTGAGACAAGTGTTTCACCCTTCCAGGCCTGATATTTGTGGAAATAATATTCAAGAACACAGTTCCTACCACCTCTGTGGTCTAGCGATCAGCCTTCCTGGCTACACATCCAGAAGTCCAGGTTAGATTCCTGGCACTACCACATTTTTTCTGAGAGGTAGTGGGTCTGGAACAGGGTCCACTCAGCCTCGTGATGATAATTGAGGAGCTATTTCAAGGAAACAGCAGCTCTGGTCTAGAAAACGAAATTAATGGCCATGGGGATTTGTTGCACTGACCATGCAACACCCTCTATCCGCAAAAGCTGGCACTGAACTTCACTGACAGGCAGTGGTTGCTCGGTCAGTATAGTTTGCTTGCGGACTAAAATCATGAAGTTTTTCTTTTTGTTCCTACCTCACAGAAAACACTGCATCACCATTACAAAAGCAATTAGATAATGGTGTTCAGGGAAAGAATTGTTATTTATTCTGAGAATCAAATAAAAACAGTTATGAATGAATGAATGTATGACAGGTAGGCCTTCTCAGTCCTTGCACCATGACCTACAGTGGTCTCTTATGCTTCCCCTTTTTTATTTATCCCTTCAGCAACCCGTGCTTCGGATGAAGCATAGGATTTTGAGCGTGAGGATGTCAAAATAGTCACTTGGTTCCATAAAGTATTGACCCAAGTGACGTAGTCTTAAATAAGCTAATGCCTCACATTCACACAGGATATGTGTGGCTGTTTCGTTTTCTTTCTGACATCTTTCACAAGTGGGACTCACTTAGTCCCAGTTTGAATAGGTGTCCTTTGAGGTGACAGTGTCCTGTAAGTAGTCCTACCACCCATTGTAGCTGGTTCCTGTTTAATTTCACCAGTTCCTTTGCTCTTTTAATGAAAGGCCATAATGCTCCTAAGGCAATATCCTTCTGTTTAATCACAATTTCTATGCGTGTTACCACATTGTGCAGTGCACTTTTGGTAGATTTACCTGTTTGGTAGGCATGTTGGTTTCGATGTAGAAGATATGTCCTCAACACCCTGTCCCTGATATGCCTATCCACTATTTTCTCCATCGTTTTCAACAAGAAAGATGACAGACTAATAGGACGATAAGCCTTAGCTTTGGTATAATTAAGTTTCCTGGGCTTTGGGATAAACGTCACCTTAACTTGCCTCCAGGCTATGGGGATGAAACCATATGCCATGCAGGCTCTATATATGCGGCATAGGTGTGGAATTAAAAGTTCTGCCCCATGCTGCAAAAGTGCTGGTACAATTCCATCTGTTCCCGCTGACTTAAATGGTCTAAAAGTATTTAGTGCCAATCTGATTTTTGATTGGTTAATTATGACTTTGGCCAGGTTCCAGTCTGCCCTGTTCATCTTGCTTTGGCAAGTGCCCAGGTTTTGCTGATCCTGTCCATCATCCAAATTATCAATCAGTTTTGAATCAGGAAAGTGAACTCTGAAGAATTCGTTATTAATAATAATGCCCTCTGACCTTGGCCTCTTAAAGGTGCCGATGGGGGTTTCTCCCTGCTTAGATGAGCCTACATTTCCTGGTTGTTGACTACTCCCAGTTCCTGCTTTGCTTGCCTCAGCTCTTGCCTTTTTTAACTTCCGTCTAGTGCATCCAGACAAGGCTTTCTTTGCCAGAGAGGTTCCACCTACTTCAGAGATTAGGTGTCCCAGTCCTCCTCCTAATGCAGGTATGTTGGAAGTACTAACTCCCTGCAGTGGTGTGTCAGTATTACTGACCCTCAGGCGAGTAGTTTTTGGTTTTGCCTTAGGAAGGTTCTGAACCATTGGTTCGTCCCTGCCTTTGGCTGAAAATTCAACAGCAGGTTCGCTGACTGCACCTCTGTCCCTTAGTGGTTCACAAGAGCTATCAGCCCCCTGCTGAAGCATTTCTCATAGCGATCCCCTTGGAGGGGGGTCCCTCAACAGTTTAAGGTCCTTATGACCAGTTTTCTTTTTGGTTCCTTTCATATTGCTCCCACGAGTTATGGGGATTTAAAAGGTCACGACACACAGCACCCCATGTGGGTGGAAGGCATAAATACAACGGGGTGCTGCCTGGTGACCCAAGGGGATCATTAAAGACACTGGCTAATTTCCACCCCAGTGCCATGCAGCCCTCAGCACGATGCCTCACAACTTGGCTTAGGTGGTTTGGTCCTGTAATAAATGCAACCCTCACAAGCCTCCAGGACCAAGAGTGCTTGTTCGGGGGGAGAGGGGTATCCCAGATGATAAATGGGAGTGCGACACCAGTTAGTCATGAGGTTGCAATCAGGGCATCCTACATGATATTATCACCGCTGTAAAAACAGTGTAAAAAAACAGTGAGAAAAATGCAGATTCTTGACGTGTTTTTCAGTGAATTATTGAATGTTGCTTTTTCAGTTTCAAGACTAATAGCATCAGATGGTATGATAATAGAAGAATAATAATGAATCAGAAAGAATTTGGAAGGAAGTGGCTCTAGTCTGATTGAGGTACTATCCCAGCATTTGCATGGAGGGACTAATGAAAAACATGTGGAACTCAGTCAAGTTAGCTAGTGTCCCAGCTGAGATTTGAATAGGGCACTTCCTGAATGCAAGTCTAGAGCATTACCACTTCACAAACTGATTCACTTCCTTGTGTTTTTGTTCGCATAAGTCATTGAGATATGTTTCATGTCCTCATTTAGAGTACTGAACTGAAATGGTGAAATATACACTTGAACAGTGGGGTTTTCTGTAGAATATTTACACAAGAAAAAAGTATCCTGGTGTCTGAGTTCCAGCTTCATCAGTGATTTTCGTATTGGCGATGAAAGTGCATTCAGCTAGGTCTTTCGTAGATGAGTAATATTTTAGACAGAATGCTGTGCTAGCTGAGGAAAAGGTTGATGAAACTCAGACCACATCAGAACATTTGTCTCACAAATCCCTGACATAACTGTTCAGCAGGCACAAGTTACAACCACAACAGCATGGAGATCAACTAAACAATTATGTCCACAGTTGTATAAAATTATACAAGTTCAAGCAATTGAAGATTGAAGTACTTTGGTTTCCCCTGCCAATCTTAATTCCACCAAATTCTCCATCATAATAATCACCTGGGGCAGGTTACAATAGGCCAATCAGTGGTCACTGTGCCGAGTGGACCCAGTTGGACTCCACCTCCCGTATGTCATGTCCTTGTTGCTGTTTGAGTTTGTAGCCAAGCGAATTGTCAGATCTACTGTTGGATTGTGGACCATCAAGAACTGGACATTGTGGAGGGGTTGGCCCCCTGTGAAGTGGAAGAAGCAGCATTAGCATAGGAAGAGCTGGATATGGAGGAGCACTGGCCACTCCACGAGCTATGGCGCCCACTGGTGAGAGAGAGAGAGAGAGAGAGAGAGAGAGAGAGAGCCTTTGGATGATGGTGATACATCTGGATCTGCTGGCATATTAGCAGGAAACCGCTCAAGAATTAAAGAGGAAGTGGTGGCAGCAGTTGGAAAATAGTCGCAAGAGGAGCTGAACCTCGGAGAAGAAGGAAGTGTGATACACTGCTAGGCTATTTGGGATGAATAGCCCCAAGGAAGGAGCAATGTAGTGTGGATGGCCAGAGCGTTTCTAGGCAACGACCTGTAAACAACCTTCAGTCATGTAAGCACACTCAACGAGACTATGCAATCCACTTCTAGGCAACGGTTCAGTAAACAGACTTCTGCGCAGGTGCAATGATGTCACACTGCAACAGTACTAGCTATCATGTAACTAGCTTTCTATGGAGCCCGTGCCGTGACCGTTGCTATGCAATCGTTTGGTAAACACGTTTCAGCAGTATAAGCTGTTTTCTGTGTGTGGTCAGTGTGGAGGCTATATAACAACAGTTAGAGACAGAACAGATTTCAGTATTTCAGAGTGTTTAAGTGTTTAAGTGACAGTGAGAGAGTTCTCGATAGGAGATCCATGGAAAGTTAGTAGGAGACCTGTGAAGACTTAAAGTGTGATTTGAAGACTTTCAGGCTGCTATAATTTCTGTGTTGAGATCTGTGAAGACAGGGAATCATTGTGTGCGTGCAACAGTGAATTGTGAAGTGTGTAAATCATCGATAGTGCAGTAATTTAAGTGTGATTAAGAGAAGTTGTAACCAAGGTGCCAATAAATCTACCCTGCACGTGACAATATAAATAAAATTTAAATATTCAGTTCCTACTTCATGATAACATAGTTGGTATAGTGACTGGCTATGGGGTGGTTGACTGAGGTTTCGAGTTTGAATCCTGGCAGGGTCAAGAATTTTCTCTTCTCCATGTCATCCAGACCAGCTCTGGGGTCCACCAAACCTCCTATCCAATGGGTACCAGGGACTCTTTCCCTGGGGGTAAACCAGCCAGGGCATGAAGCTGGCCACTAACCTCCAACTATTGCCGAGGTCAAGAAAATGTGGCTCTATACATCCACTCCCCCACGTCTTGGTATAGTGTTTAATTAGTTAAGCATAGGGACAACTTTTATATTTTTTGTTCCTACTTCACAGAAAGCATAATGACTCTCCTTTGCAGAAGCCAACCCGTTATTGCTGCTTAACAAAATAAATGTTGTTTATTTTGAGAACTGTCTTAAGCACATAAATACATTGCAGGCAAAAGGAAGAGTTTTTTTTTTAACATTAGAGAAGGCTGTACGTAAAGTAGCCATTGTGCTTTAAAATCCTTCCTCTCATACTTCATCAGTTCATGATTGTTAATTTGCAACTTTTTTACAGCTGTTCACTTTTCACATAGTGTTATTGCAGAATGGTAACCAATGTGTCATGAACTTTTATTTCTAGGTGTGGTATGTGTCACATGTTTCTTCGTGGGCCTCATATTCTGTACAGGTGCAGGCGAATACTGGCTCAAATTATTTGACTCTTTTGCTGGAACAATTGGCCTTGTGTTGGTAGCCTTGCTGGAAACACTTGCAGTCATGTATGTCTATGGTCATAAGAAGTAAGTAACTTATAGTCATGTTTGATAATTTCATCCTCTTTACATATTTGGATTATTTTAGTAAAGCAGGATGAATTTTGATGTCTTTAAGATCATTATTATATGTACATGTCTGTTCAAATCTCAACAATCTGTGTTAATTTTAAAGGTTTTAAAACTTTAAGAGAAAATAAACAGAAAATTGTACTTTTTGGTACCTCATTGGTAGTTACAATATGATACAAATACTATTCCTACTACAAATTCTGAATAATACACATAGAACCTTTGTTTATTATGTCAAATCACAGTTGATCAATCAGAGGAAGCTTTGTCAAAATTTTATCACTTTCCAATCTTAGCTAATTGTTCCCATTGTTACTTCTCTGCTTCAAAGCATTAAATGGAATATGCTTTCTTTAAACCACTGAGGCTGATATGTGGGTCTGATTGCTTGTTTCAGATTTACACAAGATATAGAAGACATGACAGGTTATAGACCAGGATTGTACTGGCAAATCACATGGAGGTTTCTTGGCCCTCTGCTCATGACAGTTATTCTAATATCATCACTGGTATTCATGGTCATTAATAAGCCAGAATATCATGCTTGGAAAGCTGAAGAAGTAAGGACTATTGATTAAAATAATTAAGGATTCTCTGGGACCTTTTCCAAACTTTGCACTACTTGAACAATTTCCTTGAAAAAGTAGACTTTACAAAGCTGCATCCAAATCTCATTGACATGTCCCTTTGTTTCCTTTCTCTCTCTCTCTCTCTCACCCACGCACGCACCCACACACACACGCACACACACACACACACACACACACACACACAGATATATGACCAAACACTATGTAGCTCAACTTGTATACATTTTATTCCAATTATTTTTTTCTTCTACACAAAATGGTAATTATAAAACTGAAAAAACTACAAACGAAGAGTGCAGCACTAACAATATCACTGTTTTTTTTCTACACTTGAAGTAACTCCTTGAAGCCTGAAATTCATGTAAATGATATTTAAAATCCAATTCCTACCTCATGGAAAACACTGTGTTTCTGTTACAAAGACAAACCAATTAACATTGTTTAGAGAAATGATAGTAGATTATTCAGATCACGCACATGTACACACTCACATTCACAATTTCTCTCTCTGGGCAAAATGATCTGTTTTTAATGTTAAAGCAGTCACCACACATACATGCAGTAACCTCTCTGTCTTAAAATGCTGGAATAGTATTTGCATATATAAAATAATCTTCAATTATATATAGTTTTATATAATACCCCTGGAAATGTTCCACATGATCCGTAGCAGTTCTGTGATACTGCCAGCTTGAACGCTATAATTGAGGAAATTTGAAATGGCACAAATTTTTTATTCAGATATAGACGTATGCACAGCAATTGTATCAGAATAGCAACAGAACCTCAAATCTTCAGTTTAGAATTAAGTACTCATCAGCCTTATCTGCTGTGTGGATTACTAGATTTACTTCAGGCCTATTGGTTTTGCTCAGTTTCTCCCAGTCACTCTCCTCTGGGAGTAGGTCAGGTGAGAGCAGTAACCACCTACTGTTAGTGGGATCAGCAACATGACAAGCTCCTGACACAATTCATTAGCACTGTGAACAAATATATAAGATGTCTGAAAAAGCTGTGGAAAAAAAAAGAGAATAATTAATGTAGAAAAAAATATTTATTATGTGGAAGTAGTGATCTTACATTCCAGTAGCACAAAATTCAAAGTGTTTTTGTTACAGCAAGTTTCAGTGTAAGTTCAACACATGCTGAAATGATGTTGGATCTAGTGCCACATGCTCACAACCATAACTATGGTCACTGTTGCAATTGCTTCTGTTATGTGATGTTGCAGAGTTCAAAGATCTGCAATTTTCAAATGCCAGAAAATATTTACAAAACCCCAGAGGATAGAGTTCAGTGGTGTTTGGTCTGGCAATTTTGGGGGCCATGCACTAAGACCACCACTTCCAATTCACTTGTTCATAGAGCATTCGTTTAAAATCAGGTGGACATTTCCAAAATATGGGGGTGCTTCATCCTGCTAGGATCATTATTCATGAGGCAGTGATGGCGCTGTGTAATGTTGTAACACATCCACTTATGGATAGCTTGTTCTGAATGCTTTCTGAAAGAAAAGAGTTCCAATGATGCAATCCTTCACCATGCCACATCATATGTTAATCTTTGGTGTGTCCCCCTGATGTTAGTAATTTCTTGATGTGGCTGACTTCCCCACTTGTACATGTTGAAACACTACACAGTGCTCCATTTGCCTTGTGATGCATGAGTCCAGCTGAATGGAGTACCTCCACGTTTTGAAAAAATCATCCATCAGTTTTAAACAAACACTCACTGTACAAGTGGATTGAAAAGGCGGTTTCCTGGCATGAACCCAAGATCACCAGACCTAACACCAATGGACTCCATCTAGTTTATGTGAAGAATACTGTCTAGCAGGAGAAGTTGCACATCTTTGAACTCTGTGACATCACATAAGAGAGGCAACTGCCACAGTAACCAAAGCTATGCTTGTAAACATGTGATTTCAGATTGAATATTGGTTCACTTTGCATCAAGCAAATAATGGTGCTCACACTGAACCTTACTCCTACTGCTACTGAATTGTGAGGTCACTTCTTCAATTTAATAAATGTTTTTCCACACAAATGTTTCTTGCACACTTATCTTGGACACTTTCTATTATAGAATATACATAATACAGTTAGTCATGCACTGCACTACCTACCTGAGTTGCTTTACTACATTTATGAGTTTCTCTGGTTTTATTCTCTGTTCTCCTCTTGAGGAATTAACTAGCTTACTGATTTCCTTACTTGGAGAACTAAATATATTATAATTTCATTAGTCAATCTGGCTCATCCCAAAATCATACACACACCTTGAAATTTAATTTTGAATGGTGGAGTTAGTGAACATCCTCAAGTCCATTCATCATGGATCTTGTCAGGTGGTCAGATGGTTCACGGCTTAGAACCATGGCTGGGCCTCACACCCTATTGACAACTGCCCCACTCTGAGAGCAGTGCATTATATTGATCTGATTATTCAGTTCTAAAATTCCACCAACTTGCTCTGCTGGCTGATTTAAAAAGAATATGGCATGATTCAATGTAATGGTCTGGTGGCACAACTAATCTGGTCAGACATGCTGCAATAAAATGTCTTCTAAATTAAGGAATTTCCTTTTCATTTACAATGGGGCATGTGCATTACTACAGAAAAATATCAATAAAAACTAAAGACTGTTATTCCAGAGCAAAACATGTAATATGACTTCAGTCCAATTAAGTCCCAGTTCAAGTTCACTGAGGTTATGGTATTGTGCTACCTTGTTGTGAGGCTTGATACATTTCCTGGGGGAGCAAAGGACTGGTGAACACAATTAACATGGGGCTCTAGGGAGCTGGATAGACTCAAATGGTGGGCATCAGTTGCATCAGAGTGAACCTTTGGTTGCATAAGAGTCACTTTCTAAATTAGTGCAGATGCTTTAGGAAGATTCTGTACCATGGATTTGGCATGCAAGGTCCCGTCAGTCATATTACAGGATTCCTACAAAATTATGGCGTAAAGAAAGAGCCTCTTGCATCTATAACTGAGTTCCCAGAAAAATACTCCTGCAATGCAAACAAAGAATGATGAAGGCCACAGTGTTCTGGGATGTGATGCTATTTAGTGTGGATAAACATGCCACTTCGAGCTTAAGACTAAAGGCAGCAGCCTGATGGTAACCACCTAGCTAACCACATGGTGTCATATTCCAGTCTTAACCCTTTCAGAATCAAGGAATCAGAAAGCAGCCTTATCCTCATGTTCTTTCTCTTCAGTGTCCTGACCCACAAAGTTTTGCATTTAGGATTTCAGACTCTCAAATAATATTCACCTTCCAGGGCAAAACTGAAAAGGAACCATATCCTGATTGGGTGTTGGTGATTGCTGGACTCATGATCACAGCAGGCGTTCTGCCAATGCCTGTCGTGTTCATACTGCGACGTTGCCAGTGCCTCAAATTTGACCTTGACATCCACCAGGGTGCCATTCGACGCATTGACACAACTGTATCCACCAAGGAGATGATGGGAGACGTAGATGTGAGCTACCATTCTGCCTCTTACTTACACTTACAGAGTACTGATATGGATCACTCATTAACACTTTTCTTGAAGTAGTATTAAGTTCATAAACAGCTTATGCACAGTTTGTTCCTTTCCAGGAGACCTGAATATCAACATATCTTTTAGTCAAACTCATATCTTAGCCTCAGTCCATTGTTCAGTATTCTAATGAATGCAATGTTTCTGAAACTGGAGCTGTTTCTGTCCTCAGGTGAGGGGGGTGGGAGACACCTACTCGGTTGGGTCCATTAGAAAGTTGTAACCTCCATCACTTGATCCAGTTTCCAAAATGCCGTAGTCATTACCATCATGAGAACCCTTTAGAATCTACACAGAGACTATGTATGTACTGCATCATCCAGCAACATTTTCTTTAAAAATAAGTATGCACTGAAAGCAATGCTTCTGTGTTAGAGCACTTGCATCATTAATGTCAGATTTGTCAAATGACACTGCAAACAACAACAATGAAAGCACACAACAGTATTACTGTATGTTGATCAAAACACGCAGGAGTATACATTACAGAAGGGCTGTCCAACTCCAAACTACAGAGGCATCATATTAGAAAAACTATATTTTTTCCAGTGTACTGATACAGTATCTGTCCTGCATCAGTCAGATGTATCGAGCATAAACACAAATAAGAACTGGATCAATAAGATTCAAAGACATTTACTTCAGCTGAATATTGCTAGGTTGATTGTGCTTACAAATCAGCCCACTTAAGATTCAATATTGCTTATGATTATGGGGTTATACCAGTTCCAGTCATTTCTAAATTATTTAGTGGCTGTCATGTGAAATCAGCTGAAAAGTTATATGAAATATTTAGTGAACGCTTTTCAAGCACCGTTTTTAAACAAATAAAGAATTGACACATATTTTGGGGAATGGAAGGGTATTGTCATGGGTTGCTCAAAACCAAGTGACAGCCGATATGCTCAGAGTTTGGTGACCATCCACCACAGCATAAACTAAATATTTTGTACAAAATCCATTGTTCGAATTAAAACAAAAAGATAGAAACATAAAAACTGTACCTTATGGAGCATCGGAGAACAGAAATCTTGTGTCTCTGGTTAACTGTGTGACAGAAGGGAAAGGGTGTCTGTTAGGTTCCTAACAGGAAGAAGTTAGTCCATTTATTCATTAAATGTCAGTGGCTAGTTAGTCTGACAGGAACCAGTTGTCTTAAAAAAGCATAAGACTGACATAAGAAAAATAACCAAGCTCGGTTTGATGGTGTTACTGCTGATATTTTATCATGAGTAGATTTTGTGAGCATAAGTGACAAATATGCTCAGCCTCAGCTGAAATTCTTTTATTCTATAATAGATTACAATGGAGGTCTGGGTAGAGCACTGATTGGCTAGTACCTCTGCTACAGCTTTAAATCATATGCTTTTAAATTTTGCAAGTATTATAATTGGTTAGCTGCAAAAACTTGTCTGTTGGGCACAGTGGTTAGGCTGCAAGGACAATCTGATTTTCCAGCTGAGTCTCTGTTAACCTTCTCAGGGTTACAGTGAAAATATCTGTGCTTTTGCTAAGCAGTTCTGGGTGGTCACAATGCAATTATCTGTTATACAATGTTCTACATCTACTGTTTATATCCTAGGCAGAAAAAACTTGAAATAATGTAAAGCTACTGCCATCTATTGGTTATCCTTTTGAACTTATTTTGAAGAGGTTCCGCTAATATGTCTAGACTGGCTCTTGAAGAGTTTAGCAGTGTGCGTGTGTGGGTGTGCATGTGTGTCATTTCTCAGAGGATGAATAACTTCGTGTTTTGGACCATAAGCATAGTGTAGGTGATGAAGTGTTGGGGAATTTATCACGAACACTGAGTATAAGAGAGCATTATAAATCTGTTGAGAAAAATTCCAATATTTTTTTTATATTGTGAAACTACCTGACCTGACAGGGTTGCTGCACTATATAAATAGCAAATGTGAAAGGGTTTAGGTGAACCTGAAAATACCTCAAGTGACAAAAAAAAATATTATTTTAAATAATAGAAATGTTGCAAAAAGTTACCAATTCATGTACACACCTTCCATTTGATTAACAGCTTTAATAGGCCTGCTGAACGGCTCATGGCTTAACTGTAACACGGTATCAATTTCATGCTTTCACTTATAAATCTGTGAGGTACTGTGTGTGTATTTCTTTTAAATCTTTACTATGGCTTTATTTCCTAAGGTAATTTAGCCATATTCCAAGAGGATCCTTTTCTGACACTTGGTTTTACTGACCTTAATGGGCATGTGGCAGCAGTTTTTTAAGTACTGTGCCAAATAACAATCTGGTAGCAGCATTACTGCTGTCAGCTTAAGTTCTGTTTCTGTTTAAATCTGTCATCAATTTTGAGACAAGTGATATTTGTATAATTGCTTTATACCAAATTAAGGTGAAATATTTTTTTGGTCTGTACCATTTGGAAGCCAGTTTAATACTCATGAAAACAAGTTCATGGGCATGACAAATTGTTAATCCTATTCGTGTGGCTGACCAAAGAATAACAAAACTCAGGTTGTTACTGAATCCAAGGGTAACACATTTATTTATATTATGAGAGTTATTGTACATTTATTGAACTGGAGAGCACAAGATTGTGATTTTTAAACAGCAGTAGGGTGACCCACTAATTCATTCATTCATTTATTGACAGTTCTACAGAATCCATTGAGGCATCTGCCTCAGATATAGAACAAGTCAGCAATACAATATAATCCTGACTGCTTAAATGTTTATCTTTTTAATCATGATTTTTGTAACCAAGGTGATCAAAAGCAGTCTTCTGTGATGTGGCGCCGTGTAGAAATTGTGTTAACCAACGTTTTGGAGGAACATATTGCCTCCAACAGACTGTTGCACCTGCTCAAGCTGGTTTGCTCATGGATTTCTTCTTGTCTTCTACCCTGAAGATGGAGATGATACGTTCCTCCGAAACGTCGGTTAACACAACTTCTACATGGCGCCACATCCCAGAAGACTGTTTTTTCCATAGTTACTGCCGTGAAAACCTCAAATCTTGCAAGGTGATCAAAATTTGAATATGATGATTTCTATTTCAATAATTGGAATAACAGCTAAATGTTCATTTTAATTTTTCTAAAATTACAGGACCTGTCACTGAATTTTATTTAGTGTTGAAATTGGGACCCCCTATGTCAGAATACACACACACAATACACAATATACACACACACACGCGCGTGAGTATATGTACGTATGTACATAAAAAGAACATTATACTGTAAGTTTGTTCAAAGAAGCAATTTGCTGTGATAATTAAAAATATTAGAAATCGTACCACAGTCTGGAATGTCAGACTGTGGCATGTGTCCTAAGATATAGGTTTACTTACAGAAAGCTAAATACCATTTACAGCCAGATGAAATCTGTGAACCACTAACCAAAGCATTTTTATATAATATATTTTGGTTGTATATTTTGTAGCTGACACCCCACAAAGATTTTCCTTTTATAAATAAAACATTTCAGATGCCAATACATGGTGTCTTAGGATTCAGGGTGAGGAAAATGGAGCAATAAGTGGTACTTCATTTATTAGTTAGGATAGCCTAGTCATTACATTGACTGAGCTATAGGCTGGATGCTTGGAGAACCAGGTTTTGAACACCCAGAAGGGCACAGACTTTTCTCTTTTCCACAGTATTCAGATTGGCTCTGGAGTCCACCAGGCTAACATCCAATATTGTCTGGGGGCTCTTTCTATGGAGTGAAGCACCTGGGGCACAAAACTGACCACTCACCTCCATGTAGTGCCAAGGTTAAGAATGCATGGCAGTATACCTCCACTTCCCCATGTCTTCATGACATGACGCTTAATTAAGCTCAGGGACATTTACCTTTACTTTTGTATTAGTTATTGTACATAAAATGCACGGAGTATATGAGTTTTAAACATGAGTTGGACAGCACCGAACAGAATATTTTGACACTGTCACTGACTTCATGTATCTGTTTGTCTATAGTATGATGTAGAACTAGGGCTGCCACCTATCATTTTGACAAATACTGAACAACGTATTTTTCAGAAAATGATTTTCAATTGTCTGTAGAATCATCAACAACATATATTAATATATTTACTGCAAAATATTTGAATTTCCAGATATTTTTTTTTTTTGTGCATATAAAGATCCTCAATATGCACCATTCATTTTAATCAGTAAAATTATTGGCTATGTATTGGATGATTTGGGTTGGAGGTTCATCAAGGGCATAAGGATTTTTCTTTTCAACATCACCATGTTTGGAATGATTCTCTGACTTACTTAGCATCCTATCCAATGGATATGTGGAGCTCTTTCTTCAGAGGGTAAAATAGATGGAGCATAAGTCTATCACTCACCTCAGGCTGAATGTTTACCTTCATTCCCTTATATGCCTTCATAGAACAGCAGCTGCAGATATTTGTGCCATCACTAGGCATTCCAATGGAATGTTTTAAAATTTCCAGCTCATCTCCTAAGCATCACAACATGTACTAAAAGCACAAACCTACTGCCATCTCTTGGTTGTCTCTTAGAATTTCCTGTGAATTACCACCACAGTGACTCAGAAAACATTCCATTAATTTATCTTTTAATACTGTGAAAATGCCCAATGTGACAGGTTAACTGAACCACAGATCTGAATACTCAGTTGTGAAAGGGTTTGATTTAGTTTTACTACATAAAATATTACTTTCACTCTTTCCAATTATTTTTTCTTACTGGTATTTTCTTTACAAAACTTTAATTGCTTGCACTGTGATAAAATATTTTTTTGTATAATTCTGTCCCATTTTCACATTCAAAGCAATAATAGTTGTGATGTGGTCTAATCTAGGCTTGCACCTACTGGATAATGAGGTTCTTTCCACAGCCATCAAGCATCTAGGGTGAAAACCCTTCCCTCCATCGAACACTCAGCATGGGCACCAGTGGAGGAGGAAAGGGGTA